AATTCAGTTCAGCCTCAGTTTGTCCTAACTTGATCATAGACTTATTTTCCTAATTTAAAATAATACTTAATGTATCTAGCAAAAAGGTGTTCTCTCTCTCTCTCTCTGCTGAAAGTCCAATTTCTCCACCCCAGTCCCATTCAGACACCTTTTCACAACTGTTCTCTGATTGCCCTGTGACATCTCCGATCGTCAACCTTTACATTTGTCAAATGGCCACACTACATTTGCACCACACTCTAGAAGCATATTAGCCACAATCTAATTTTTTATTTCAGCTAAAAATCACATAGTTCTTTTTCTAGACCCTTTTTAGGCTTTTGTAGATACTTCCCTATATGTGCCACGTAGGTAAGATTTTATGTAGACTTTGTTTTCTATTTCAGTGATACATATGCTTATAAGACTCAGTTCGGTTACTGACTCAGTGACTCAGTGACACAGAGGTAACAGGAGGAACTGGGCAGCACTAGCTAATCTCATAAACCACTGAAAATCTGCACAATTAGTGCTACACTTTTGAATTGGAGTCAAGGGGCACCTGGGTGGTTCAGTTGGTTAAGCATCTGACTTCAGCTCAGCTATGATCTCACAGTTTGCAAGTTCGAGCCCCGCTTTGGGCTCTGCTGTCAGCACAGAGCCTGCTTTGGATCCTCTGCCCCTCCCCTCTCTACTCCTCCCTGCTCATTCTTTCTCTCTAAATAAATATAAACTTAAAAAAAATGAATTGGGGTTGAAATCAAGTTCAGAGCTGGCACATGCAGCAGGTAAAAAGAGGCTGGCACTGCTCCGGTGTTACCCTCTGTGGGACTGTGTCTGCAACCCCAAATCCCTGTATTTATCTGTCAAGGTGTTGCACTTTAAAATAATAATAAATCAACAGAAAAACAAAGCCCTCGAGCTCCTTCTGGAACAAAATGCTATAGGTACAGTAGTAAAATGTCCTGCCAGTCCCAGATGAGATGTGACTTTCTGAAGAAAGTGGATAATTTTTACTTGATGGTGAATCGTTAAAAGTGAGCCAGATGATTAAACTTAATGGAACAGCCACATTAAACTGAAATTAGTAAAAACATGCCTCGGGCAGCCTGCAACCTTTTATTTGTTGTTGTTTAACTTCTGCCTTTTACAGTGGCCATGATGAATGACATCACAAAAGAAAAAATCCAATTAAAATCTAAGTGCTCAATAAACCCCTAATGTCTGGTTGCCACCACCACTTTCACTAGCACTGATGTCTGGCGTTTCCTCTTTTCCCCACGAAGAGAGAAAACTGGCCCCAGGGGAGTTGCGCAGAAGGAGAGGCAAGTGGGGAAAGGGCACACAAAGGCTTCTGGAGGTTTCTGCTCCCTGTGCTGTATCAGACACAGGCACTGCACTTCGAGAGGGATGAGGTTAAATTGTTTTATTATAGACAACGCCTGAGTAAAGAGATGCATTTTCCCACTAGTTTTCAAATATTGATAAATCAGAATGGGGATCTGCAGAGCAATCCTGTTCATACTCGTGGTTGGCGTCTCTGCTGCCCTTTTATATCGTCTCGGGTGTTTGTTCTATAAGTCATCGGAATGGTGTCTCCTGACAGCTAAAAATAAGTTTCTGATTACTTTTACCTGAATAAATCTTGTGACCAGATGTGGTCTTCACCTACTAAGTGTGCAACAATTACATATCGAGAGTGATGAAAGAACCGGAACCAGCCGGGAGGCGTCTATAATCTAGTGGGATGCAGAATACAATGTATCACATGGGAAGACAGCAACTGCCACCTGGTAGAAGAATACTAGCTTTTGATGACAGATTTTACCTTAGAGACACTGTGGGTTTATAAAATTGGATTTGCAAAGTCCTCACAACAAAGTTCTCAAAGTCAAAATAAGAGCCAAAACATGCTTATTATGAATGAGGAACTAACAGGAAGGATACCTTAAAACGTGCTCTTACTGCGTGTTTGCATAGGAATTAATACAGTATTTGTACATAGCCTCTAATTAGATCTTCATGATAGCCTTGTCCTGTGGTTCTGTTATCCTCATTTTATTGATAAGGATCTTGGCTCAGCGAGGTTAATTGACCCTGCAATGATCTTACACTTGGTGAGTGAGAGAGAATGAGCACAACTCCTATTTGGGACTCTGGTGCTGTGCCCCTCTGCACTGTGCCGGGTCCGCTAACCATGGCTGCCCAGAAGCCAGATCCAATGGGCGGTGATGTTGGTTTCATTACTCATGAGTTAATGAAATAGCTTGTAAAGAGCTCTCTTCAGTCATTAGAATTTGACGATGGAGAGTTAAACTTTCCCCAGTGGCTCTTTCTGTGTAATCACGGTTTCAACGTTTCCTTAGCATCTCACATTACACAAATCATGGAGTCCTCTTTTGTTTTACATTTCTTATTGCGTTTGTCTCACTTCTAAGCAATTTCCTCCCCGTTCCCATTTATCTTCCATTATTTCTGCCAAATTGCTTTCAAAGCTACTAATTGTATGAATAATATTCTCTTCCTCAAACTCTGCCATGAACTAGCATTAGCTGTGTGGCTTTGGACACAGTTTCCCTATCTCTAAAAACACTAAATAACCTCTTCTTGTGCTCAAGTTCTAATCTTCTGGCTAAAGCTTTCACATGAGGTATATGACTTTGGAAACACTACATAAACCGGCGTGTTAATTTTCTTGATTCTACTGTGATGGATTCAGTTAGTTCAGGCTTCCCAAAGTGTGTCTCTTGGAAAACTGTTCTCGGGAATGCCAACACTCACAAAGGATTCTTTACGCAAGAATGTTCAGGAAAGGTAGGGTTTTTTTTAAAGTGATTATTTATTTTGAGAGAGAGATAGAGAGCCAGCAGAGGAGGGGCAGAGAGAGAGGGACAGAATTCCAAGCAGGCTCTGTGCTGTCCTTGCAGATCCTGATGCAGGGCTAAAAAACCCGTGAACCGTGAGATCACAACCTGAGCCAAAATCAAGTCAGATGCTGAACGACTGAGCCACCCAGGCGCGACCAGGAAAGTTACATTATATAAAGTCAAGTACGGTTTTAAACTCTAGGCAGTGACAGCCTTTGATATGTTAATGTACACTGGTGACTCCTAAGAAAAAGGCAGAAAACCCCTTCTCCTCAGCATTTTATATAAGTGATAGTCCATGGGACACACTTTTAGAAAGGCTGGGTTCGCTTATGTTAAAAGTCCCTTTTTGCCTGGAGAGTTTGTTTTCAAATGTGGTGATAAACACCACTCTGAGCATTTCGTGTAGTGTTCACCAGCAGGACCCAGAGCTGGCTTACCTTTGCTGTTGTTGCCGTAACTGTTGTAACATAGCCTATACTATGTTTAGACAGAGTTGAAATAAAGGTAGAGCATAGCTACCTTCCCAATAAACTCTGCTGTCTGTATGCAGCTGGTACTTATAACTGGTCTTTTTTAAAAAGATCTCTTCAATTTTAATTTTTGAAAATTTGTGAATAGAGTTAGCTTATCTGAAGACCTAGGGAAAAATACCTTCTAAACTTTTGCTAAAGTGGGAAAAAGGGAACCAAAGACACAACAGAGACTCAAAGATCTGGAAATCATCCCTGGGATAGGCAATACAGGTGAGTTCTCCAAGTTGGAATGATTGTCTTCCACTTCAATGATATATTAGCAATCATTTCATTCAACCTTTAACCTGACCCATTTCACTGACAGTTAATCTTTTTTTAATGTTAATTGATTTATTTTGACAGAGACAGGGAGAGTGTGAGCGGGGGGAGGGGCGGAGAGGGAGAGAGAATCCCATGCAGGCTCCTCACTGTCAGTGCAGAGTCCGATACGGGGCTCAATCTCACAAACCGTGAGGTCATGACCTGAGCTGAAATCAAGAGGCGCCCCTCACTGACAGTTAATCTTACTAGACCCTCTGCCTGATTACCTTCAGGAGAAGGGAACCCACTACTTTAAAAGGCAGACTATTCCATTTTAGTCTGATTCCACATTTTAGAAGATCCTCTCCTATATTAAATGATAATCTGAGTATTAAATGTTCTTGTTCTACATGCCCTTGTAAATCACCTAGTAAAGGGATTTTCAAGGTATTGTTCATGGCAACACTTAAGATGTTTCTCAAATGCTTTGAGTTGAATTTCATAAGAAATTAAATAAATATCACATCTTCCCAGAAAAGTGATTATAAACTCCATCATATGAGACTCACTGAGATTGAGTAGCTTCCCTAAATTCACCAAGATAGCAAAGTATAGAGGCAGAATGTACCCAGGTCTCTGTTTCAAAAACCCAAATCCTTAGGGCTCCTGGGTGGCTCAGTGGATTAAGCATCCAACTCTTGATTTCGGCTTAGGTCATGATCTCACAGTTCATGAGATTGACGCCCACACTGGGCTGTGCACTGACAGCAGGGAGCCTGTTTAGAAATCTCTCTCTCCTTCTCTCTCTGCCCCTCCCCTACTCACACTCTCTCTGTGTCCCTCAAAATAAATAAATAAACTAAAAAAAAAAAAAGATTCTCTCTCCCTCTGCCCCTTTCCCTTGCTCACATGCTCTCTCTAAAAAAAACAAAAAAACAAACAAAATTATTTTCTCAGTGGCATGTCACTTTTCCAGTATGTCTAGATACATAAAAGTGAAGCGTATATTTGTAGAATCTGAATGCTATGATAAAAATAGGAAAATAGTGAAAAGAGTTTCATTCCAACCAGGCTAATATGTCCTTGCCATGACTTTGGACTTCAGTATTCCATTCTTCAAAACAAGGATTACTACATTTTCTACAAGCTCTGTTTCAGAACAGTTCTAGAAACTTCTATGATTAGAAGGAAACATATTCAGTAATGAATGGTATTACTATCAAAGATTTAAGTAAACAGTAAGAAAAAAAACAACCCTCAAACCCGCATCCCTCAGAAAGGAATGAATAAAAGTTAACATAGCAAGCATCGTAAAGACAAACAGTTTAGAATCACATGCTTGACTTTTACTTTCTTTAATTTTTTTTTTCTACACTAGTTACATTCAGACCAGGATAGAGGAGATGGATCACTTAAATATATCCTTTCAGGAGATGGAGCAGGAGATCTCTTCATTATCAATGAAAACACAGGAGACATACAGGCCACCAAGAGACTGGACAGGGAAGAAAAACCTGTTTACATCCTTCGAGCTCAAGCTATAAACAGAAGGACAGGGAGACCCGTGGAGCCTGAATCTGAATTCATCATCAAGATCCATGACATCAACGACAATGAACCAATATTTACCAAGGATGTCTACACGGCCACTGTTCCCGAAATGTCTGATGTTGGTGAGTGCGATGTGACTTCAGCCACATAATAATGTCTCTCCTCGAGTACATCAACTGAACAAAGAATCCCAGAGAGAAATTTACTGAGTTGAACGAATGTAGATGCTAGATTCTAAAACCATCATATTTCAAACAATCTCTTTATGACAAGTACACCTGTTTCCTAATATTACTCTAGTCTCATTTGATTATTATTTTTAAGCAAACAGCATTTCCTCTAATGATGAAGGGATGAAAAAATGGCAGGCCAGAACAAGAGGGAAAAAGAGACATCATCTCATCTACTTCCTGTCCCCCAGGTGTCCACCCTGGTCCTCAGGCTGAGAGACAGCAGCCTCTCCACCTCTCTTAGCACTTATTGGTACTGGGCTTGAGGTGAGGATCTCCCCAGTGGGAAACAAAAGCCTGAATTTACATTCCAGACTGGAGAGTAATGACAGTTGCTTTAAGTAAATATGTGTTTGGAAAGAGACCCAAAGAAAACTTTTTTAAAAATCCATAATTATGCAGGGAATGTTTAGGGGATATCCTTTACTAAGTGATGGAAATTACGAGATTTTCATGACATTAATATGGTGAATTAATATTTTGTGCACAATTCTACTACAAATTTTAAAGTTAATATGTATGCTTCTAATTTGCTTAAATCGGGAGAAGGTCAAAAGAATTTACATTTTTAAAAATCCTACTGACATCACTCTTAGCCATATTAAAATACGTCATGGGAAACAGTGACAAATTTTAAGCTACCTGAATAAAGGGTTATTTTTATTTTCATTTGGTGTCAAATTCAAAAGGGCTAAATTACTTAATAATAACTCTCCCATAATTCTATGAGTCAGATATCAGAGGCATTTTAGGTCACAGTTCTAAGACTTAGAAAAACCTAATCCATAGAAATAATTGTAAACCACCTAAATCTTTCTCATCAAGAAGTTGTTCATCTCATTACTTAAAACCGCTTTGTTTCACCATCAACAAAGCAAAAGAGAGGGATTAAAACTCCTTTAAGAAGAAGATTCTGTAGGAAAAAATATTTTTCCTCTATGAGGTAAAAGTAAGGAAAAATTAATAAACAATAGTCTCATCATCAGCACAACCCAGCAAAACAGTTCCCAGAAAACAAAATTTGATCTGCAAGGGTCACCCCCCCCAACTCTAGAGGGTGACATTCATTTTTGAAGCGATTTTAGAATTAAGTACGTATTATAAATATATGAGGGTAGCTGGAAGTAACATGTCTTAAGAAAAGGAAGGCTCTTTCTAATTTGCACTCAGGTACAGTTATGTTCATATTAACCATTATCATAAATTACCATGTCATTATTATCATAAAAAAAGGCATCTTAATCCCACATTACAATGTGGGATAGCAGCAGAGTGGTATAAATGGGCTTTGAGTGTCAAACAGACCTGAGTTTGAAACTCTACTAATAAGCTGCATCTTGATGTCTCTGATCCTTCAGTTCCATATCTACAAAAAATAAATAATAAATGTCAACAGCTAAGGATTACCATGAGGATAAAATAAGAAAACAAGTGCAGAGCCCCTACTACAGTATCTGACAACTAATAGGTGCTCAAAACATCCAAATAATCATATTCTAACAACATTCAAATTTTATACTGATGTCAAATAAGAATGTGGGTGTTTATTGATTATTATTAGCTCTCACTCTGAAGTCACATAATGCTTTCATTTTCCCCACCTTCCTTTCCAAATTACAAGGATGGGTGTTCTATCTCGTGCACCAACATGATACATCCAGAGCATCCACCACAGTACAGTATATTTGTTCAACAAACAGGATTGGTTAGAAGTTACAAAAGCAGTGTAAAACTTCTAATATTCCTTGAACATAACTTCCCTGCCCTTTCCATGGACAGTGGAACTCAACAGTATGCTTACTGCTTATCTGACAGGAATATCAAAAGTCATCCATAAGATGATCTTCATCAGAGTAAGGTCTTTCCCTTTTTGGAAGTCACAGATCTCTTTGAGAATCCAATAAAATCTATGGATCTTTCTATTCAGTGAAATATACATGTAAGCATACACGTAAAAATTTGTGTGGAATTTCATGGGGGTGGGAATATTTTGGGGCGCCTGGGTGGCTCAGTCAGGTAAGCGTCCGGCTTCGGCTCAAGTCATGATCTCACGGTTTGTGCGTTTGAGCCTCGCGTCGGGTTCTGTGCTGACAGCTCAGAGCCTGGAGCCTGTTTCAGATTCTCTCTCTCTGACCCTCCCCTGCTCACGCTGTCTCTCTCTCCCTCAGAAATAAATAAAACATTAAAAAATTTTTTTTAATTTAAAGGAATATTTTGCAGGTTATTCGGTGACTGTGGTTCTTAAAACAAGAATGCTGATCTAAAACATCATTGCCTTCTTTGTACATTTAATTATAATCATTTTGGGGGGGTTATAGGTTCCAGATGTGAATGTCCTAGTGTTCTAATTAATTCTTTAATCCAACACTACCTCTTTTAAGTGTCAAGATCTTTCAACCTCTTAGAATTATCAAGTAGATTTATCATTTAGGATGCCTTTATTTAACAGAAAACCCAACTCAAACTAGTTTAAACAAATAAAACTATTTAGTGACTTAAGTAATACTGAGATCAAAAGTAAAGTGGGCTTTCGAGATGGTTTGATTTAGGTTCATTTATTTCTCTGAAGTTTTCTGTCATATTCAGCATTGTTCTCAGGCTGGCATCTCTGAGGTCACAAAATAGCTGGTGCATTGACAGGCCCTACATCAGCACGTTACAATCCAAGAGAAAGAGCACTCATGACCAGAATTCTCAAGAAAATCTCAAGTGACCTGATGATTGGACAACTCCTAAACTAATCATTGTAGATAAAGTAATGCAAGATGCTGATTGGCTTAGATCATTCAACTTCAAAGAATGACTATAGCATAGTAAGAGTCCAATCAAATCTCACCCTTGGACATTAGTTGGAATTGGTTCCACCCAAGGTCATGGTCATCCAATGCTTCTCTTTAACCTAACCCTTACAACATTTATAAATGTTGATCACACTTGTTCAGAATGAGAAATCGAAGGCTTTAAAATATTTTTTTTTGATGCTTATTTATATTGGGGAGAGAGAGAAAGAAACTGAGTGCAAGCAGGGGAGGGGCAGAGAGAGAGACAGACAGACAGACAGAATCTGAAGCAGGCTCCAGACTCTAATCCATCAGCACAGAGCCTGATGTGGGGCTCACACTCAGAAGCCGCGAGATCATGATCTGAACTGAAGTTGGATGTTTAACCCACTGAACCACTGAACCAGGCGCCACAATAAATCTGAGGCTTTTTAAACCTAGTATCATCCTGAAATTCTCCACTCCTTTGTCAAGATACTTTTGTACAAGAGTAAGATCATGCTTTCTCTTTCTGTGTGTGCATCAAGGATCCACATGGGCCCTTGATTTATCTTCAATTTATGTTTCTGTCATTACAGGCACATTTGTTGTCCAAGTCACTGCAACTGATGCTGATGATCCAACTTACGGCAACAGTGCTAAAGTTGTGTATAGTATCCTACAGGGGCAGCCCTATTTTTCAGTTGAATCAGAAACAGGTTAGAATTCCTTTTTGATCTTCTTTTTACAATCTATAATTTTAATTGACTTAACAAAAACAATTTATTAATAAAAACAGTGTAATTTAATTTTCTTAGCTTCATCTGCCAAATACCAGCAATATATTTTTAAACATGATATCCAGATCATTTTAATTCAGAAATCTGACAAGAGGTGTTTCATCCATTATACTTATATAGGGTAAATTCAGAAAACTTATACAATGTTAGTTTTTTCTTCCAGTTTGGGGTGAACCTAAAAACCAAAGCCTCCTGATAGCCATTAGGGCTATTTACAAATATCCCAACTCTTCTTTTACTAGTTATTTGGCATTTTTTACCCTGCTCTGAAGCTAGATGTAGCCTTGAGATTTTCTGGGCCAATAAATGCGGCAATGATTCAAGTCACTTCCAAGCCGAACTTTTAGACCTGGTGCACAATCCACATTCCTTTCTTCCTGCCACAGTGATCATGGATGGAAACAAATGGTGATCTTTGTCTCCAGCCTGGATGTCTGTTAGCATCAGCAGAGCTTCTTGCTGGCCTCCTCAAAGCAAAAAAACATTAACGTTAGCTGTGTTAAGCCAGTAAGATTTTATTATGACATTATCTTGCCTGTGCTCACTGATACCATCCTAATAAACAAAGTGGATTCCTTAATGGAATTCTTTTTCTGCATTTTATCCACAAAGCAGCATACTATCTTCTGATGAATTATTTCTTAGGACATATTATCTGTGCTGTACAGTAAATTCTACACATATTTTTGCTATCATAATAGGAGTCGAATTCCATTTCTAGATTTCCCAAATATCCATTATTGTTAGTAGAAATCAAAACTTTTCTAGGTTACTACACCCAGCTGGAAATTGATGTGTTAAGAGGTGCAATGAACTTGGAAAGAATCCCAAAGAGAAAGAAAATGTTGAGTTGAAAAACAATGAGGGTGAAAAATTAGAAATATTCAACGTAAAGGACAAAGGCTAAGGTGACCTTCTCTATTTAAATAGAGAAGTCCTGTTATCGGAGAACAGACACAGCTGCACTTTCATTGAAGCCAGGACCATAGGAATAAAACTGACTTGTTTTCTGAGGTGTTCTTGTTAAAAATTTTTTAAAAAAGATATTTTCAGCTTCATCAGTTGTTAAGCACTGGAATGTGCTACCAGAGAAGGCTTAAAGTCTTGAAAGCCTTGAAAACCTTTAAAGTCTATAAAGATTTTTGAAAGAATGTTAATTTAAACATAAAGACTACACAGAGATTAGACAAACTTTGAGAAGTTCTTTCAACTACTTATTTTATAACTACCGAACGATAGAGACAAAATTAACCTAACATAAGAATGAATGTTGGTCACTGCTGAGACCAGCTGAACTTTTGCTCACATCAGCTTTAGGAAAACTTCTCTAGGATCATACAGGCTGATAATTATGGGAGAACTGAGCTGTGTTTTCTTAAGACCATAGTTTGTGGTTTAGAATATGCTCCGAACATTCATTATGGGAGGTATATTTGATGAGCAATTAGCTGATACAGTAAAGTGAAACTCAAGAGTCAATTCAAGGAAATGGCTTCCTTAGCAATCTCCTCATAGTACACTTAAATGTCTTTTATCAGGCTATAGGTAGTGTAACACTATACCACATGCCAAGTTATATTTTGCTATATCATCTTATAACACATGATATTTATACTACCTACAATCTATATTATTGCAGATTTGACTTGTACTTATTCTTGTATGATAGGTGTTTTTTTTAAATACATCTATCTCTCCTATGTGGTTATAATTTCCTTCAGTATAAAGGCTATCTATAATCATCTTTCTGTCACCGGTTACATCTGTATAGTGTTTGCATATCGTGGATGACTGCTATGTTTGCATAAATAAATGATTTGATAAAGCATTTTAATACATCCCTTTCCACTTCTGAATTTCGCATCCATAGGTATCATCAAGACAGCTTTGCTCAACATGGATCGAGAAAACAGGGAGCAGTACCAAGTGGTGATTCAAGCCAAGGATATGGGTGGCCAGATGGGGGGTTTATCTGGGACCACCACGGTGAACATCACGCTGACTGATGTCAACGACAATCCTCCCCGGTTTCCTCAGAGTAGGAACATTTGATTGCATGAATTTCCTTAGTGCACTTTTATAAAACTCTACCTTTAAGAATGACATTTATTTTCCATTGTTATTAATTATCAATATTAATGAACTTAGGAAGAACCATACTTTTATTAGTTGGATGATTTATGATATGGTGATAGTTGTAAAGGTAACACAATTGTTCTCTTTTTCTTTATTAAAAAGACTACCAGAGACATAAATTTGTTTGTGCAGAACATATGCATGTAAGCGTGCTCCTATTTGTAAGAAAAAAATTGACTTTATATTTTGTGAATTTAATCAGTCGTGTAATCTCTTTTAAATCCCCACAAAGCGTTATAAGGGGAGGATTTATCATCTTACTGTTTCTAAAAATACAACTGGGGAAATACCCATGTACTTAATCCATTTGTTATCATAAATAGTTTTCTACATTATGGTTAATTGAGATAACAAAAGTCATCTCTAAAATCATTAACTCTCATGGCTAGATAGGAAAAAAAGGAGGAAAAACAACATTCCTAAATGCTTACTTTGTATCAAGCAATATACTAACGGCCTTCATATAAAGCTCTTTCAAGAGGGTACTGGTTTTAATGTAATTTTTCTTCCAGGAACAAAATTCATTTCTGACCGTTATCTAAGAAAACTACCTAAATTCTGTCTTCCAGGAGAAAATAGCTGCCCACCATCAAAAAGAAAGCCCACTTATCCATTCATAGCATTTCTTTAATGCTGGTCAGCTAATATGGGCTTCTTTTATAATAGAGATACACATGGATCAACCGGAACCTGTTAAATTTTCTTTAATTTTTTTCAAGTATTTAATCACAGCTAAATGCAAACATATATAGATAACTAATTTCTGATATAATGGGTAGAAGATAGGTTTTATGGGTCCTAAAATTTTCTCCCAGACGTCTGAAATGACAATGTCAGAATCAGCAATACTTCACCCAAAAACCTCTTTTTCAATTTGGGAATTCCCTGGGGAAGGATAACCAAAGGATTCGTCAGCACCTTAAATACCACAGGGACCCTACCTCACTTTGCTCTCTCCTTGGATAGCCTGTGATTATTACTGAATACTATACCAAAGCACAGGAGGGAAGAATAACTCTAGAGGAAAAACTTGGCTTGTTTTATCATTTTGCCAAGGATGATACCAACACTTAATGGGTTAATATGATTGAATGACTATATTTTAGGGGTATCATAGTCTGTTTTTCCAATTTGCACAGATAGTTGGCAAAATGTAATGGGTGAGAGTAAAATGGGTTTCGTTCTGACTCTTTTTTGTTCTTATTGTCCTAAGTACATGCCAGTCTGGCAGATCTAAATTGAAAGTCACATGCAGTCTCCTTACACTAATTTTGCAACATGAGGACATTAGAAAAGTGTACATCTATGAAATATAGGTTTTAAATCAGCAATACAAATACAGGAATGGGAGAAACCTATGCATAGAGAAAGTACTGTAATGAAATTTAAAAGAAAGGATTACTTAAACAATTAGGAGCTTTCTCTCTCAACGTGTCTGTCTGTATCCCCACCCACAGCCAGACCAGCTCCATGTATGAGTGAGTGTCTACTTGGATACATTCTCCAGATCACTGTCATTTATTTTCACCTTCTGTTATTATTAGCGAAGACACAAAGAACCCTTTTAAGAAATCCCTCGTAATTGACTTAAAGTCATAGTTCAGGTTAAATTCTTTTCCATTCTTTCTGCTAGATTAGTTAACAGGGGCTTGAAACCTTCTGCACCCTTCTCTAGCAGCTCAGTCTCTCTTGCGATCATACTATGAACCTGGAGACCTATTTACAGGACAAGAAAAGTGTTCTCCATTTGCAAAGAGACAGGTCATGACAGAAGAAATATTCTTAGCAATCATGAAAGTAAGGATGTAAGGAGAATAGAGCACCATTAATTATTGTAAGGAAAGTACAAATCTGCCTGCATCCGTAGTAATGTCTGAAAGAACTATTAGAAAACGGGGTCTGTCTTTATTATGATAGAGTATCCTTCATCTGTGTTTGACTTATATCTGTCTGGTGATTAATAGGTACATACCAGTTTAAAACCCCTGAATCTTCTCCACCGGGTACACCAATTGGCAGGATCAAAGCCAGTGATGCTGACATGGGAGAAAACGCTGAAATTGAGTACAGCATTACAGAGGGAGAAGGGCTGGACATGTTTGATGTCGTTACTGACCAGGAAACTCAGGAAGGCGTTATTACTGTCAAAAAGGTAACACAGTTTGTTAAATACCATACAAATGAGCACGTTCACTCCAGTAACCAAGGCAATTGCATCTTACATGAAATACCTTGTTTTACTAATTATTTTTTTAAATGTGTATTTATTTTTTTGAGAGAGAGAGAGAGAGAAAGAACATGAGCAAGGGAAGGTAGAGAGAGAGGGAGACACAGAATCGGAAGCAGGCTCCAGGCTCCTAGCTGTCAGCACAGAGCCCAATGCCGGGCTTGAACACACTAATCATGAGATCATGACCTGAGCTGAAGTCGAACACTTAACCAAGTGAGCCACCCAGGCGCCCCTACTAATTATTTTTTTAATGCCAAGTCTAATGGTTGGCTTTTAGAGGTTCTCAATAATCTGATGTGTTCATTAATTTTATACTTTTAATAAATTTTTATTAAGAACCTCCTAATAAGTAAACAAATGATAAAAATAAATGGTACACTTTAAAGTATACAAAATAAATATTGTCAATGAATAAGAGACAGTGTTAGATACTGTTCTAGATGCTGCAGGTACAATGGTACATTCAACAGGATGGTGTCTGATCTCATGGAACTGCCAATCTAAGGGAGAAGAGACAAGTAAGAAAAATAAACAAATGTGTAACTATCAATTCTGATACATGCTTTGAAGGAAAAGAGTAATACAGTGTATTACTAAAGATAGCCTAAATTAGAGGATATAAAAAGACCACAGTAATAAATTAAGTAACACAAATTTCCTACAAACTCTTCAGCTACTTTTTGGAACACGATAATAAATTTTTTATATTTCTGAATTCCAGTGTTTGTCCTATGTCCTTATTCAGTATTTCCCCCAAAAAATTGTCTAGCACCACAGAGCAGTACACAGAAGTGTGGCAAAAATTTAAAAACAATACACTGTGTGCTTTAAAGCTAAAAATTGTTGTATTTTTGGTTAGATTTTTTTTAATGACTGCACTTTTATCACATATGATACAACGTTTTCTCTCTCCTTTAGCATACTTGCTGGTAAAAAAAATAAGCCTAGGTGGATGTAAATAACAAGAAAATCCTTTCCTCTTAAGCTTTGGATTACATGTCTTAATACCTGGAAACACAATAAAACATGTTTAAGCGACACTCAGACCAATGTTTTATACTATAATATAATTAGGAAGCCCATTAGTGTGCATTAACCTTTTTAATTTTCTTAGTGCCTTATCAGATTCAAACTGAAATTTTGCCTAGCCGACTAAATAACTTTCACTAATGTCTTGATTAATTGTGTTTCTAGTGAGCCTTGTCATATCATCATCTAAAACTAAAAGTCAGCAGTAAGCATTTGGGTTCACTATGTCTCCTAAAGCAGAGATACTTCTTCTAAAGACCTCTGACAACAGTGATCATTACTTTCGTTGGCAAGTAATTAGCCCGATGCCCTTATCAGGATATCACTTGGAATATTTTATCAACTCATGCACATGCCAAAAAAAAAAAAAACCCATATTAAATCTATTTTATCTGAATGAGTAAGAGGAGGTCATGATGCAAACATGTGGTTCTCAATTCTGGCTGCTCATTAGAATAACTGGGCGAGGTATTTAAAAGTATAGATTCCCACGCCCATCTCAGATATTTTGGTTTAATTATCCAGGGTGGGTCCAGATACTGGCAAATAAGAAAAAGTTTTTTTTTTAACGTTTATTCAGTTTTTAGAGACAGAGACAGAGCATGAGCAAGAGGGGCAGAGAGAGAGGGAGACACAGAATCTGAAGCAGGCTCCAGGCTCTGAGCTGTCAGCACAGAGCCTGACATAGGGCTCAAATCCACAAACCACAAGATCATGACCTGAGCCGAAGTCGGAAGCCTAACTGACTGAGCCACCCAGGCGCCCCAATACTGGCAAATTTTAAGCACTCATTAAGTATTCAATTAAAGTCAGATGTGACAACATCTGACACATCTATATAGTTGCCAACTTGCCCCTGACATGGCTCCCTCTAGTCAAATATAAGAACTTTTTTTTTACAGGGGGTCCTTTTTACAAGACTCCTGCTTCCAGGTTCTCTTCCCTGTCCATTATACTTTGCACCCTTGCCCCCACATTCAAGGCAACAGCGGGCCTGGATTCAGCCCACACTTTTCATCAGGATGGCATGGATCTGAACTCTCATGTCTTTGCCCAATATCATATGTGTGGTGATATTTCTAAGCAATATGCTCATATTCTCTACCCGTGATTTTCAGTAAAAATGCCTCATGTCTCAACTTTCTGTGTCTTGGCTGCTTTAAATATGGTCTCTTCTCCCCACTCACCCCAAGCTCTTGGACTTTGAAAAGAAGAAAGTGTACACCCTCAAAGTGGAAGCCTCCAATCCTCATGTTGAACCCCGCTTTCTCTACCTGGGTCCATTCAAAGACGCAGCTACAGTCAGAATTATGGTGGAAGATGTGGATGAGCCCCCTGTCTTCAGCAAACTGGCCTACATCCTCCAAATAAGAGAAGATGCTCAGATAAACACGACAATAGGCTCAGTCACAGCCCAGGATCCTGACGCCGCCCGGAATCCTGTCAAGTAAGCATCCTTCTGCGACATGTCTTTTTTGTAAACTTCAGTCAATTGCTATTCAAGTATTACCTGCAAGCTAGAAAATTAATGCTTTTTCCAATTAGATATTTGCGTCTTCCTGAAAAACTATTCTAACCAGAATCTTTACTCTCCTTGCTCAATGTAAATATTGTTTTAGCAGTGGCGTAAACCTAAAAGTTGAGGGAAAAACACAAAATGATCTATAGGAGTGTATTGCTTACATGAAAATAGTATAAGATAATACAACAGAATGGCCTGGAATTTTTCTTTAAGGTCTTAGATTTGTCAAAGAGTGGCATGGAGAGAGCACTGTGATTTTTAATAAGCAAGACACTGGGCTGAGAGTCTGTTTTCCAAGAGTGGAAGAATCTATCCTGTAACACTTAGAGACAGAATTATGCTCCGTTTGGATATGTAATTTTTTTTCTTTTTCAGATATGGATAAAAATAAGAACCATTTCATGATATATGTCTGCGAAATCCTGGGGAAATTAATAGAGCTGAATCCTAATTTATACTATGTAAGCAAGCTCTATTTCCCCTATACATTCCTAATACCTTAGCTGTAAATCATGCTGCAAGAAAGCCTCATTGCTCTTTGAAACCACAGATGGTTCAGTATTCTAGAATTTTATCATGAAGGCACTGGAGTCCACAACTTCCAGGCTTTAGTCAGTAGCTTACTTGACTAGATGAGAAAACTGCTAAATCAGAATATCATTGTGTAAATTATCCCCTGTAAAAAAAAAAAAAGTAAGCAGGCTAGAGGAACTCTTACCAGTGAGCCCAAAGATATATTCTGATCAGGGTATCTGCCTTATGCCAGGCATGTTCTAGGCTTTAGAGACACAACAGAGAACAATATCAAGTCCTGATCTCACGAAGCTTACATTTTAATCGGGGCAGACAGAAATAGGCAAACAACAAATACGTAATATTCCAGCTGAAATACATTGTAAGCAGTAAAATAAGAGTATGGAGACAAAAAGTGTCTGGGGTACCATTTTAGATAGTGTGGTCAGGCTTGCCCTTGGTAGGAAATCATTTGAGTAAAGATTTTATTGAAATGAAGGATGAACCATGAACATACCTGGGAGGAGAATATTCCCAGAAGTGGGAAAAATGAGGGTAAGGTCTGATACCAGAACTTGCTTGGCATGAAGGAGTAGCAAGGAAGCTTACAAAGCTAGAAGAAAGTGAGCAAGGTGGGGAATGGTTGGTAAGATATGAGGCAATGGGAGGTTTGGTAGGTGGTTAAGTGGGGCAAGTCCTATGGATGTTTGAAGGCCTTGGTGAAGACTGAATTCTATTCTGATTGATGTAGGAGGCCACTGCAAAGCTTTGAATAGGAGTATTATCTAATCTAAAACTACTTTTTAAAGAGGATCACACTGACTACTGCATGAAGAATATTACTGCAGATAAAAGAGTTTGAGGTTCTAAGGCATTTTCTACTTTTCAACCATGAGCCCTTTGTTCAGATGAAACATGATAGCAAGTCCCACAACTAAAACACAAAAATGCACTGACTTACTTTCAGGAATTAGTTTTAAACCATTGGGAAAACAGACTCTGTTGTTTTGTCTTCCTATTGGAACATCTCAAGACTCCTTGAATTGGACTATGGTCAACCCAAAGTAGTCACATGTAAACTCCATGGATCAATTGTTCTATATACATTTAATATTATTAATAAGAAAAATGAGTGATGACCTTTGCTTGTATAAGACAAATAATTTTAAGTACTTTCACAACTGTTCTCTCACTTGGAGTTTGTCCTAAGTGTGTAAGGAAAAAAAATCTTAGCAAGTCAATGTCAAGACCAATTTAAAAGGGTTAATGCTAGAAGTTTATATAAATATGAGTTTTGTTACCTCTTTGATCATTCAACATGTTTTTAATTGAAAGAGATAGTGTCTCCTGGGAATTTAGGCTGAATTTTTATGTCTATTTCACTTTTTATAGTGAATATCATTTTAACCCACTGCATTATTTTATGTTTTATTAAAGGAAGTAGCTGGCTTGTCAGACTAGGTTGGCTCTCAGCTAATTTTAAAGTTTTCTATGCCAGCCTTTTCTTGGTACATATGGATTTCATATATAGATATAGATTTAAGGATAAAAATACCAATAAAGATATAGTAAGGATATATTGGTATATAAATGCATATTCCAATGAGTCCTTTTATAGGATAAAATTGATTCTTATATTGGGAAAGTATATCCACACATAGTTTTTGGTTATCCAAGATGTAAATATTTTAACAACTAGGTGCTAGACAATGTTAAGTACACAATTAATACTACAGAACTCCTCCCCGAAATATTGATTTATCATTATGCAGGCACAAGTTTTTAATTTTTTAATTACATAAAACAATTTTCTTCCAATAACTTTATCAGAAATGCCCCTTGACTTCCATGAAAGGGTATTATAAAATGTCTGAATAGATATTATGAAAAATCTACATGCAAACATACTTCCTTTCCTGGCCCACAAATCTCCCTGATTGAGAGGATACATTAGAAGACAAATTATTGAATGACAGAATATAATAAATTCGGGGGAGGTGGGAACGGGAGAAGAACTACCTAGCAAAATAATCTGCTATAATCATGTTAAGATTGACTACCTTGTTGCTCTGTTACGACTACAATTGATGTGACTGGACAGTAAATATACTATATGAATTGAAATTACTTTGGAAAAAAACAAAAAACAAATAAGACTTCATGTTCAAACATCTTTCCTAAACAATGTAGATATCTGAAGTTTCTTATTAATTTTTAAATCTCCCAATTAAGGGGAAAACTCATATACAATTTTGATATTTCCTAAATAGTTACTTTCTCTTTAAAGTTTTAAGCTGCCTCCAACTAACAATTCTTCATGCCATACCCTTTACTTCCAAGGCTTGACTGGAAAATATTACTTCTAAAACTTAAGACTATGGCAGGAAGAAATTAGACAAAGAACAAGAAAATATTACTGCTGTATATAATTGTAAGAGCTTATAAGGACAATAAGCAATGCATCTTAAGCTCGATTTTTTTTCATGAAAAAAATAGGCAAAAAAATGTAGGCAATTATTAAAATTCCTACAAAGTCTTTGAATACTGAAAACTCCTTTTTGGGTAACTAATTATATGCTATAAATATTTGTCATTCTTAAATTAAAAATGAAGGCAGGTGATCAAGTTCAATGCTGTTGCCTACATTCTTAATAAGCATTGATTCATGACATAAGTGGCTAAAGTAAGAGCTGTTTCATCTGTAAGAGATGAACACTTAATAATAACATATTAGGTTTATAGAAACTAAAATTAAAATTCTGAGGTGGCCTGAGATATATACATATAGAAAGATATATATATATATATATATATAGAAAGATATATAGCTTTTTTGAACTTCATTAATTCTCTTTAATATCAGGTTTAAATAGCCTACAATAATCAAATATTTATTTAGACCCCGACAGATGACAAAAATATATTTTATTAAGATAATTCACCAGTTATATTTTAAAGCAAAATAATCAATTGAAACAGAATCTACACATTAGTAACAAGAGTTTATTTTTCCTGGAGCATTCATAATAAGTCTACATGTGTATGAGTAGCTAGGTCATTTACTTCTTTGTATTTCTACTGAGCCAACATTCTTTTTTTTTTTTTTTTAAATATTTATTTTTGAAGGAGAGAGAGAAAGAGTGTGAGCAGGGGAGGGCCAGAGAGAGAAGGAAATAAAGAATCCAAAGCAGTACTGAGCCAACATTCTTAAATCTTCTATCATGACATACATTTTGAGAATCTAGCTAAAATGGGCAATTCTTTCCCCTAATGACCTTAACATATCAAACCTCTTCTGAGTTTTCTCTTTAATATCCCCTACATAAAACAAAGTGCACACATATTTCCCCATGTAGTGCTATTCCAAAAACTAGTAATAAATTTATAAAGAAGATAACATTTGTCAAAATTTACTAGTCTTCCATCAATTTCAGTGCAGAAAACTCTGTCCTTTAATTTCTTAAGACACCTCTTGGTTTCCTTTGAGTTCTCTTAACTCCTTAAATAGTTATCAAGTTCCTACTCTGCTCTGGGCACTGTTCTGGGCACTAGGGGTCTTAATTCTCCCATCATCTTTTTTTTTTTTTTTAATGTGTATTTGTTTTTGAGAGAGAGAAAGAGCATGAGTGGGGAAGGGGGAGAGAGAGAGGGACACATAGAATCTGAAGCAGGCTCCAGGTTCTGAGCTGTCAGCACAGAGCCCAATGCCAGGCTCAAACCCACAAAACTTGAGATCATATTTGAGATGAAGTCAGATGCTTAACTGACTGAGCCACCCAAGCAATCCCTTCCATCATCTTTTAAGTGATTCTGTCCTTAATATTTTTCTCCCTTCACTGGACCTTCTCTTCCTAGACAGTTGAACAGGAAATCCAAGCTGTCAATCTAGCTCTTTCTCTTCCCAAACTTTCCTTGGGCACCTCAGCTTCAATATCAAAACTGGAACTTACAATCTTCCCCAAATCCTGTTCTTCTCTTGTACCACTTGGGACGGTACCAGCCAACCATTCTCCTCAATCCAACCAGCAATCTTTATTAAACACGATTTAGATTACAATCCACTGGTATATTTGCATTGTTCTTAGGACAAATCCCAAATCCTTGGCCTGTGCAGCCCATTCTTCTGCAGTCCACCCTCTGAATCTCTCCCCAACCTCATCTTCTTTCTCCCTTTCCTACCTCACTAACTGCAGCCACACCAGCCATTTTTTGCTTCTTTCAACATAATGATTTTAAAAATAAAGTGGATAATAGAAAGCTAGACAAATAACCCTACTTATGCACATGAACACATACATACACATTAAAGTTCTAAGATTCTAAAAACTTGAGTTAAAAAGTATTAATACACAAACTTGATACAAATTACCTATAAAAGAAACTTTATTGTTGATTTTCAAACTCATGCAACTTGTCTAATGGGTTTACTATTAGGATCTCAGTTGTAAAGAATTTATTTCCCAGATATTTTGCTTAATATTAAGTTATAGATATTCAAATATGTGCTCCAGGTAGAAAAAATTCATGTAACAAGACATTCTGGGAATAGTTTCTGGATGTGAGAATAACAAATACAATGAAGACCTTTCTAGCATTGTTTGAGGACAGACAGTAGCTATACTTGTGGTGAGCACAGCACAACATACAGACTAGTCAAATCATTATGTTGTATACCTGAAACTAATGTTAAACAGTGTGTGTCAACTATCATTTGTTAAGAAAAGAAAAGAAGAGAAAAGAAAACCATTCTAAATTCTACTCTGCATTTTTAGGTATTCTGTTGATCGACACACAGATATGGACAGAATATTCAACATTGATTCTGGAAATGGTTCAGTTTTTACGTCGAAACTTCTTGACCGAGAAACATTGCTGTGGCACAACATTACAGTAATAGCAACAGAGATCAGTAAGTCTAACCTCACAGGGCAACCGTCTCCTATTGATGGAGTGAGTGTCCCAGCAAGGGCTGGTGAAGCAAGGCTGAAATTAATCACTCTGTACTGATATCCTATTCGATACATACTGAGGGAAAGAGCCCTGTAATGATTTGTAGTGATGTTTCTTCGAGGCATGTGTTCGTTCATTCACAAATGCAGAGGCAACTGTGGACATCCCGTAGTTTAGAAATAATAACATGAGAATGTACCTCTCAAATGAGGTTGGACTGGTACATATCGGATTTGATTCCCAAAAGCTTTATACATCAGAACATTACAGAAGCAACTGAAAAAATGGACTCATGGTTAGGATTGGTGGGGAGGAGAATCAAGTATATTAAAAACTGTAAGCATTATTTAGAAACCTTTCAGATCTCTATGTTCTGGCTTTCTACAGAATTTCTATTTCAAAAATCATTTCAGAAGTAAGAGATATAAATTTTAGTTTTTCCATTGTACACCAAAGTGAGCAATCCAAACCACCAAGTAATCAATAAAATGTTTAGAGCGAATTTTATGGAAGTCACCATGAAACTGAAGGCAAAGAAAAATAATGCCAAATGAATGCTTCAAATAAAATGATTATACACAGTGGAAATTGTGTAATGTAAACACAATGTGTAGGCCTAAGTACATGAAAGAAAAGTATTTTTAAAATAACATTTAAATGTTTAAAAATAGGCTTCTAAATTATAGCTCATTTTTTACTTTTTGTTTTTGATTTTAAAAGTTCAAACATTTTTAGCTCAGTTGGGTATCTGGTGTGAAATATTCCATGTCTAATTGTATATTACATTAGTTTTCTTTTTTCTTTTTTTTTTAATATTTTTTTATTTATTTCTAGGAGAGAGAGAGAGACAGTGTGAGCAGGAGAGGGTCAGAGAGAGAGGGAGACACAGACTCTGAAATAGGCTCCAGGCTCTGAGCTGGCAGTCAGCACAGAGCCCGACGCGGGGCTCAAACCCAGGAACCGCGAGATCATGACCTAAGCGAAAGTCGGACGCTTAACCTACTAAGCCACCCAGGCGCCCCTACATTAGTCTTCTTTGTCAATATAACTCATGGGATTTGATATGGCTGAAGGATATTGAATAGAATAATAAATAACCAATATGGGCAATATGAAGCATTGCCTTGTGATAGTGTTAAGAACTCTTAATTATAAATTTGTTAGATAGGAATATGCTTTTCAGAACTTACGTGTAGAGACTAATGCAGATACCAATGGCAGGGCACACTTAAAGCTTTAAAGTTACAAAATTATTTTTCACACTGAAAAGGACCATTTTTTATAACATCATGAAATTTCATTTTTTACTGAAGTAGTCATTTCATGCATATTTTAAGCTTTGTGCCTAATTTTTTTTAAAGATTTAATGTTCTGTGATATATTTGAAAGTACTTACTAGTGATAAAGACCTTTTAAAACTTTATCTTTGGCAGCTCTGACTTTGGAAGACTGATGTGGGCAACATTTTAGATGCAAAGGAACTTAAGAATCTTATTGTCTAAACTTCTTAACTATCTTTGATGCAACAGAAGCCCAGAGCTTATGTAAAACCAGCCCACTCCCATCCCAGGGCCTTGGCACTTACCGTTCCCTCTATCTGGAGAGCTGGAAATATTCACATGTCTTCATTCTTTTTATTTATGTCTCTGTACAAATGGCATCTCATGAGATGAGACTGAGTGGTCATCCCATGCAAAGTATCACCTCCGTCTCTCTCCAATCCCTTTCCCTGTTTAATTTCTCCATAGTATTTGCCATCTGACACATTATATATTTGTGTGCTTACAGTTTGTCTGTGCCCATTAGAATAAAACTCCAGGATGCAGGATTTTTGTCATGTTCCCCATATGTCCCAGCACCCCAACCAGTGGCTGCCACATATTAGTAATTAGATGCTCACTAAATATATAAGATGTGAACAAATAGATACATATGTGAAGTGAATGAAGAGTGCTGAGTTCAGAGATTCTAACTCCTGATTCTCCCCCAGATACTTCCTTTGTCTCCAGTCTTCAAACATGGGTGCTGCTCTCTCGCTATCCTAGATGCACAGTCTGGGCTTGGAGTCAGACAGACCCAAGTTTAAATTGAGGCTCTACTTTTTACTCATTATCTCCTTGAAGATGGACAAATTACCTAATATATCTGTGCCTCAGCTTCCTCATCTATACAGTAGGGGGCAAAAACTGTATTTAAATGCAAAGTTTGTAAGGATTAAATAAGTTAATATAGCAAAATGCTGAGCAGTACATCTAGCTCTTATTTAACACAAAAACTAAATAAGACGAAAACAACCATTGGCTGACAATAATTGGTTTTCTTACCCCCACCCCCATCCCCGTTCTTTCTTTTGTCCAAATTTTCCCATCTCTTGCTTCTTTGGCTTCCTCTTAAAAATACGTCTCTCAACTGCCTTTCCTGGTAAAGCTTTTCTTTTTTTTGTGTTTATTTTTGTGTTATTCTGGGGTTTGCTATATAGTTGCACTATATCAACACAAGTAGCTTTATCTCCTAGGTATTTCCAGCAGGTGTACCCAACTCCAGAAGTATTCTTTTTTTGTGACTAATTTTTTTGTGTGACTAAGTTGGCACACAGTGCCCTGTGGTACTCAGAGCAACCTTGGGGAATCTGCGTATGAATGAAAATGGGAGTAAGTGACTGTTGTCTAAAGGGGATTGACAATGACCTATAAATGCCTATTCCTTTCTTTTTGGCATGTTGCAGATAATCCAAAGCAAAGCAGCCGAGTCCCTCTCTATATTAAAGTTCTAGATGTCAATGACAATGCCCCGGAATTTGCTGAGTTCTATGAAACCTTTGTCTGTGAAAAAGCAAAAGCAGATCAGGTGAGTTTCATAAGAAAGTAAATTAATTTAGTCAGATTAATTTAGATCTTCTAATAATTCAGATGATACAACAGAGCTGAGGGCCAGGTTTGAATTATCTATGAAGTAAATGCTAACAAAATTAATACTATAAATAAGAACAGAATGAATGTTTAACTTGCATAAGAGAACAAACAGTTTTTAAGAACTGGAAGTTCATCATTCTCAGAGACTGATGTGGATTCAAATCAGTCTTAAGTTTTCATTAAAATAGATTAGTCACAGCTTTGTTGGAAAAATCTTAACTGGTGAGCAGATACTTTTAATTACCATGTATATAGGAAAGCAGTAACTACAACATATTTTACAATTGTCTATAATTCATAGTTCCACTTATTTATATTTCCCATCTGCACAAGTAATACACATTGATGAATGTTTTCCTGTTTTACACATTTGTCCCCACCTGAAATAGGTCTGTTCTACCAATGGTATAAAATCATGTTACAGTTTGTCGAAATAGCAGTACACTGTTAAAATACATGTTAAAGTGGGAAGCTGAAGTGTTTTATGTACAAACTTTCTTTCTGGCTTTTATGCAAGTCGATGGCTTATGTATATGTCAAGACTGTATTTCTAAACAGGCTGTTGTACAGAGTCCCCGATTTTTTTAGTTGAAATGCTGTCGTAGATCACTGTGATATTTTATAGTTTTGTATTACTCTAGGACAGTGTTTCCCAACCCAAGTGGTTTTGCCCCCAGGGGACATTTTTGATTGTCACAAAGAGGAGGTGTTACTGGTATGTAGTGGGAGGAGGCCAGGCTTGTTACTAAACAACATACAATGCCTACAGTGCCCAGGAGAGCTCCAAAACAAAGTATTATTCCGGGCTCTATCTCCAACCCATCGTTGCACTGCATAGAGTGGATTCACTCTAAATTTTCTAGAAGCTATCATTTTTAAATTAGAATCAGAAATCATTTAGTCAAGCAATTTACTGCAAAACTGTAAGGAATGCTTTTGAGTTACCAAATTTTATAGCAGCTTTATGGTCTTGATTTTAGTTGATTCAGACCCTACGAGCCATTGACAAAGACGACCCTTATAGCGGGCACCAATTCTCATTCTCTTTGGCCCCTGAAGCAACCAGTGGCTCAAACTTTACCATTCAAGACAACAAAGGTAAATGATCCCACGTTACTTTCTCTGTGTATATATTTATATCTTTATCTGTATCTATCTATTGGCATCACAACGTTGCAATCCATGATGGGGTATGTACATAACATTGACTTTGTTTTCTGGTTCCAGATAACACAGCAGGAATCTTAACTCGGAAAAATGGCTATAATAGGCACGAGATGAGCACCTATCTCCTGCCTGTGGTCATTTCAGACAACGACTACCCAGTCCAAAGCAGCACTGGGACAGTGACTGTCCGGGTCTGTGCATGTGACCACCATGGGAACATGCAGTCCTGCCATGCGGAGGCCCTCGTCCACCCCACGGGACTGAGCACAGGGGCCCTCATTGCCATCCTTCTGTGCATCGTGACCCTACTAGGTAAACTGCTTCTCCCTGCATCCTATCTCCCCATGAGGGGCACACACTGTTACTGTGACACTCTAGATTTATCCGCCTCCCCCATTAAGGCATACAGCCCGCTCTAGGTGAGTAGAGTTATGTGCTGAGAATCTGTGTTGTTCAACCATGAACTAGTTTTTGTTTGAAAAATAGCTTTGGAGAATGAACAGATGTGAAACTTGCCTATGTCTTTACCTACTCAGGGAATCATTCACCAAAGGAAATCTCTTGTCTATCAAACTGGGAATGAATCCCCTGTGGGATCTGAGGGCACTGTAAATAGGTCTTTTTCATTTCATTTGTTGTTTAATATTTAACCTGGTAAACATTGTTAAAATATAAAGAGTGAGAGTCATCCGGCATGGAGGGTGTGATGGTAGCCCTTTCTATGAAGGTAAAGTTAAGATCAGTGGGAAAGGGGAAAGAGAAATGTGATTCGCATGGAAAATAAAGGAGCAGTTAACTTTTCTTCAAACCAGCCAACTTGCTTTGATCTACCTATTTAAATAACTACCTTCTTAGCATTACTTCCAAATGCCACATACACATGTCTATTATTTCTTGGACTCTCAAACATAAATAACTTCTATGACTGAGGAAGTAAATCTGGGACCTAAAAGAAATGAATGCAATCAAGGTAAAAATCAAGGTTCAGCAATGATTCGAAATGAAATTTTTATCCCCAACCAATGAATTAAGCACACAGGTTGAGCTCAAAATGCTCTACAGACTGTTGCCTGTTATGAACTAAGAAATCAAATATTAGTTAACTCAGTCCTTCCAAAAATCAAAGTAAGCTCACCTACACAAAGGAAGAAAGGTAAGAAGTTAAGAGTCAACCTGGGTTGCACAGGAGGGGAAACTTTTCCAAAAAAATGACAATATAGAGACTTTGAGAGGAGTAAAGAGTAAAGACCTACATTTTTCCAAGAAGAGAATATCTAGGGATCCCTGCTCAAGAGCTTCACATTCCATAGCATTTTGCTAATTATAACAGAAGTCTGAAAGTTAACTACAGAACTGTGATTCTCTTTGTCAACAAAGATTTGGGGGAAGTATTTTAAGATATGAGGATAAATAAAAGCTGACAGTATGCAAAGACAAATCAGTGTTTCTAATGGTGTGAGTCTGTAAAATTTGTTTTGGAAGAGAAGGATATGAATATTCTTTTTGATAAAAAAAAAAAAGTTCTTTTTAGAAGGGCTGAATTGGAAGGGCTGCGCTCAAGGAGAATTCCATGGACATTGTGTGGTCTGTAGAAAGAAAGCTGACTCTCATCTCAGGAAGTGAGTCTTCCTTTCCTTCATCATCTACCCATTTTCTCCTCTCCACCTTTTTCCTCACCAACTCCCCTTATCCTCCCTTTTCATTTCCTTCCTCCAATGAATTCACTGTCTCCTCATTACTCCTAACTTGTTTCAGTGCTTCCTACAGCTGGCCTCATCCTTTGGAATTCTGTACCCAACAAAACGGGAGATCAATGGGATTTAACCTTTACTAGGCTAACACTATGGGCTGCACACAGGGCAAGATGCTTCACAACTGTTTTTCTCACTTAACCCTCAGAACCATCTGGTATATATTTCTTTGTACCTCAAATTAGAAAACTGAGGCTCCAAGATGTGCAGTCAGGTAGCCAAGTCACACAGCTAACAGGTGTTGGGACAAACTACAAAATGCAGGTCTTCTCCCCCTGAGCCTCGGTGCTTCTATACTGCTCTCTACTTTCTTTGTGAGCTCACAGAAAGTAAGGCAATTTCCAGGCTGAAAAAAAGCTTGAACTGAAAACGAGGCCACTGAAGAAGGTGGAAGCAAACCTGAGATTCTGTAAGAGAAGGAAAGCCACATCAATAGAGGAGAAAACCTACAGTCAATAAAGTGGATCATGTGGCGTCTCTTGTTTTATTTACAAAAATAAAACAACAGGGACTCCTGGGTGGCTTAGTTCGTTAGGCTTCCAACTTCAGCTCAGGTCATGATCTCATGGTTCGTGAGTTCGGGCCCCACATCAGGCTCTCTGCTGTCAGCTCAGAGCCTGTTTCGGATTCTCTGTCTCCCTCTCTCTCTCTCTCTCTACTTCTCCTGCGCTCTTGCTCTCTCTCACTCTGTCTCAAAAATAAATAAACATAAAAAATAAAAATAAAAAATAAAACAACAGTAAAAACGACTACTACATCTCGTGTCTCTGTGGTACTTTAGACTCTGCACAACTTTTACGTTTATTAACTCATTCCTGACAACAGCACTGGGCATTGTGATAGTGCTTCCCTTTTACAGAAGGAAACACACTTAAAAAGGTGAAATGATTTAAGTGAGTGTAGGCAGGCTGATTTCAAGTGACTTGCTACCTTCTAGCTTTATGATGGGATTTGAACACACATTGGTCCAAGAAACCCGCACTCAAAATCTCACTGCTGTCCTCTGGCCTCAGGGGATTGAGAAATGCAAAAGGTCAGTCACTGGGAAGAAAGCTATTACTTTCTCAGAATGTATTTTTTTTTTTTTTTGCTCCACATGCTTAGAACTCACATCGTTAGTTTATAAAAGTTAGCTTTGAGAAAGATCTCCCTTCCAGAATCTGTTCAGATGTACTCAGGGCTAAGAAGAAAAGTACAGGCAGTTGTAGCTGTAGGAGAATTAGGCCGTGAATGAACACCTTTGATTTACCGACTGTGCCCTCTCTTCGAGGCAATCGCACTTTGGGGTCTGCATTGGACTAAAATAAAAGATACAGATAGCCAAAGCTGGGGAAGAACTAGGAAGTGATAAATGCCTGCTATCTTGCCTTAAATGGTGGCACAAACCATTGTACATACGGGTTTAATTCTTTCCAAGAGCATCATCTTGATGCTATTCTCTAACGTCCCAGGCCATCCTCAGTTACAGTCCTCTGTTTTGCAAACCCTTGTCATTGGTCACACTGGAATCTGGAGTAAAGAGTTGACTATGAGCATCCCTGGGCCCAAAGCCCTGCAGTTGTCCACTCACCTGCACCTCACGGTAAAATGAAGACCTACAGAAGCCTCCAGGCCCCACGTGACAGGGCCTTTCCCTCCCCCTTTCCTCTCCTGGCCTCCCTCAGGTGCAGTCGTGGCGCCTCCTGGCTGTTTCTCAAATACTCTAGGCACCCTGGCACCCCAGCCTTTCTTCCAGCTCTGTCTTCTTCACCCGACACCTCCTCGGATAATTCCTCATATCTTTGCTCAAATGTCACTCTTCTTTAAAAAAAAAAAACAAAAACAAAAAACACCGTCCCTCAATCATACACAGAAGCACTCCTCATTCTCCTTTCTCTGGTTAACTTTATGTTTCCACTGCACATATCACCTTCTAATGATTTCCTTATTTATTAGACACATTATTTGTGTTTTGGTCTCCATCCACCACTACCGCCACCTCTGCTCACCTCATTAGGATGGGGCTCTTGATTAATGGTTTTCATTGATAGTGCCTAGAACTATAGCTGGCATGGAGTAGGCACTACATAAATAGTTAGTGCATGAATAAAAACACAAATGCCCTGGATGGCTGGGATGAATGAGGGATGAGGATGCTGTTTGGCAGCAAAGACAATGTGTACAATTGCACAGCCACGTGCTTGAAAATGGCAACATTGGATATCCTTTAGAAATAGTCTATAATCCAAGCATGCTTTAACACATGGTGATTAATAAGAGTGTGGCTTTTTACTTTGACCTCGATTTTGATTGTTTGTACATGTGACATCTCTTAATCTCAACTTTCTCTATGTAAAATGGGGTTCTAATGATGGTACCTACTTTGCAGGGCTGCTGTGATAATCAAATGAGATTAAGTATGTAAATGACTTAGCACAGTGCTTAGCACATAAAATGCTCTCAATAGATAACCAATTATTACTAATACTATTAACACCTGAAATTTTAATATATAGATACGGGAGTATGCACATATCCATCATTATATGTGTAGCTGCACATATCTACCAAAAGCCATTATTCTGTAATTTTTACTACAGTAATTCAATTTTTATGACTCCTAAAATCTGGACCATGTTATGGATGAGAAAATAAAAACATTACTAGTACTTCTTGCAATAAACACGCCTGGACAAACCCAGTTTAACAATACAGGTTCTGCCCTGGCTTGCTGTTTTCTCCCACCCGTATGTCCATTTGGAGATGGGTCTCTCTACACGTAGCCAGCTGTGCTCTACTCAGCCAGCTGCAAAGAAACATCAGGAGTTATTTAAACGCAGTTCTCGCTTTGCCTCTAATTTGAGTTAGGAGGAAAAATCAACAGAACCAACATTCCAGGCATCAAACTTATGAAAGAACTCTGAACCCTGAAAGAGTTTTTTTTTTTAAGCTCCATCTTAAATGTGTTTATTTTGCTTAGCTCAAACAGAAATAAGCTGGTGTGTGTCTTATCACCTGCCCCCTTTCAAACTGGCGGGTCTTGAAGTCCAGAATGACTTTCTGAGTTGTATCTGGGCTTCTCCAGGTATTACCTGTAATAATATTTCTTATTATTAGAATGGTATGCAGAAAGGTATGCAGACATTCACATCTCTACTTTGAGTTTTAAACTAATTTTACACTTCTCTCAGGGGGAAAAAAGAAGAAGAAGAAGAAGGCAGAGTGCAAAAGTTATTTTAGATGTGTAGTTATGCAAACCCTTCAACACATCCCGAAGGTGCCAGCCTTGTGCTTATAAGCAGTTTCAGAGCATTTCAGGTGTTCAGCATAATTTGCACTCTTATTGCCGCGCTCTAGCTGTGTTTGAGCGGGTTTTTTATTATTATTATTATTATTATTATTATTATTTTATTTTTTCCTTGCCTTCAGACTAGCTTGCCGTTTCAAAGCGAGAGGGAACTACTGACAAAATATGAAGGTGTTTTATCTTCTACTTAAAGTGTAACTTTCAAAAATTCTCCTCCGTTTTGAGGGGGGGGTGGGGGGGTCCCTGGTTTGATCACGCCCGGAGGCAAGCGCAGCCTTCAAGGCATAAGAGTTGAGTCTGCAGTTTTCCTGGAGAAGTTTTAAAACTTGGCGTTGCAGCGCAGCGTTGCTTGCTGACGTTAACTGGGCGGCAAATTAACGTCCCCTTCCCTTTCTGCTTTGTTTCTGCTTCCAGTGACAGTGGTGCTGTTTGCGGCTTTGAGGCGGCAGCGGAAAAAAGAACCTTTGATCATTTCCAAAGAGGACATCAGAGACAACATTGTCAGTTACAACGACGAGGGTGGCGGAGAGGAGGACACCCAGGCCTTTGATATCGGCACCCTGAGGAACCCCGAAGCCATCGAGGACAGCAAATTGCGCAGGGACATCGTGCCCGAGGCCCTTTTTCTGCCCCGACGGACTCCAGCAGCTCGCGACAACACCGACGTCCGGGATTTCATTAACCAAAGGCTGAAGGAGAACGACGCGGACCCCACCGCCCCGCCCTACGACTCCCTGGCCACCTACGCCTACGAGGGCACCGGCTCGGTGGCCGCCTCTCTGAGCTCCCTGGACTCGGCGACCACGGACGGAGACCAAGACTATGACTACCTTAGCGACTGGGGCCCGCGCTTCAAAAAGCTGGCAGACATGTACGGAGGCGTGGACAGTGACAAAGACTCCTAATGCGCTGCCTTTCTCGGTCCCCGGTCCCTCCCCCCCCCCCGGTCCCCTCCCCGGTCCGCGGGGTGGCGGTGTCCTCCTCCGTGCCCGCTGCTCCGCGGAGGGGCCCCCGTGGCCCCCGCGCCCGCCGTCGACGGCTGCAGTCCGCGTGGATCCAACGCTAGGGACTTTTTTTCTAGTACACTTTTATGAGCTTCCAAGAGGCAAAGGTTTATTTTTTAGCGCATCCAGTTACCCGTGGCGTCGGCCCCACAGGCCCCTTGTTCGCCCAGGGCGGGCGGGGGGCACGCGCAGCATCGCTGGCCTGGCCTCCCCGCCACCCGCCATTGACTCAGGTCAGCTGACTGCTCCGGCTGTGCATTTCACAGGCTAATGGCATGAGGGACTGTGCTTTAATGACAAAAATATAGTTTTAGTGAAAAGAAATGAGGGAGGAACAGCTGTGAAGCTGGTCCCCATATATGGGCTAGCAAGGAGACGGTGAACTATCTATATCGGGTGTGTTTTACGGGTGTGTCCCAAAGTATTTAAAATGGCATTTGCCCGTCCTGTTTGTTCTTCAAGAACTTTTTCTGGCACCAGGGACTACTCAAAACATCAGATCCACCAGTGTTTTAAGATTCTGGGTCCTCTTTAGGACTAGAAACAAACTAAATGGTAATATTAAAAAACAACACACAAACAAAACATAGTATCTCATTCCTGGCCACTAACTCATAATTTGTTATGTATTAAACACGCAGAAGTTTGTCCTTGCACCATATAAAGAGAAAGGGAAAATAGCTAATGATGTGGACAAAGGAAATATTTAGCGTATTTTAAACCTCGGGCCACCAAATGTACTACAGATCACTTAAAATTATTTCAACCATCAGTAGGCTAATTACAAAGAAGTCTAATTGTTTCAAATTCTCGAAGAAACTTTTCTGAGACAAATTTTAACTCCTTGTCTGTAGTTGTTGTCAGTATTATTCTAATATACTTGAAAGTAGCGGTGTAAAGTACCACTATTCATATTCTTGATACTTCGTATGCAATTAAGTTGCATTAGTAAAGGTAGATTAGAAAAAACTCAAATCCTGCCCTCAGAGTTTAATGGGGAAATGAGAGTCAGCCACACTTGAACCTGGTAACTTGTCCTTCCATCTGGAAACATCTATATATTTATATGATGTGATATAGATACATTGTTGAGATCATAGTGAAAAACTACACATTACATGTTTGGAAGATGCTTATGAAGGGAAAATTTTGATTCCCTTCAACGAGAGTGTTTAAGATTGTATTAAAATGATAGTTGACTTTCAAAAGCATTACTATTTTTTCATTGTTTTTAACTTCGTTGCTATGGCAACACTGCCATCCTTGTCTTTGAACTAATGATAAAGTAATGGTCTCAAACTACAACAGAAAAGTAATGTACAATCCATCCAATCTATTATTTCTCTAATTATGCAATTAGCATCATAGTTATTATCCAGAGGACCCAACTGAACTGAACTAATCCTTTTGGCAGGTTCAAATCATTTATTTCATATGGCTGTTCTAATGATTTGTATCATTAGAATCTTACATTGTGCAGTCATCAGAAAATTCCAAAGTACTGTAATGAAAACATTGTTGTTTTGAAAACTTAAAAAAGAAAAAAACCCAGGCTCTGTATATATCTATATATCTATATATCTATATATATTATGTACTTGAGAATATGCTGACTTCAATTATTAGTCTTAGGGATTTATTTTCAATTAGTGTTAATTTTCTACAGATAATCTTAATGTCATTTCCATTTGGAGATACTGTTGTATTAGCACATACTTTCTATTTGGAACACACTGTTGCTTAGTTAAGTTTTAAATAAGCGTGTTACCCAGGAAGTAAAGATGGCACCCTTAAAATAAGAGAAATGTAGTCTTTTGGGATACCCAATTAGAGTGAAAAGTTTTATAACCATATTATTCCTTGTGTTTCCTGAATGGTTTCCTATTTTGTAATGGACTTCCCTGTATACTAACAAGTATTTCATGTTTTCAGGGTTTTCTTTTGCTAGTTCTTCATACACACACACACACACACACACACACACACACACACACACAGGAATGCAAACAAAATACTACAGGAGGGTTTCTTTGTAATGAATATCATAGTCACAGTTAAGTGTTGAAAAAGATAGCTTAGTAAAGTTAATTAGTAAGAACTAGTTATTCATAGCAATAGAACACCACCTTAATCACATGACTTACTGTAAAATTAAAGAGCTCTCTGTCCTTATGTTTCATGTCATGTAATAAATTGTATCAAGAAAGGTAGTTCTGTAAAAAGAAAGATATCATCCGAAGTCTTCCTTTTGAACTTTTGGGTTAATTGGAATGTCTGAGGGTTGACGCTAGCAACTTCCAGTGTTTAACGGTAAGGTTTATTCTCTCCTCATAAGTGAAACTAAGTAGTTCTGTAGTGGAATATTTGAGATATAATTGGCAGGTATGTTATCCCGCCTTGAAGATGGTAAAGTGAGCCAAGAACAAATGAATATGACTAAATATTGAAATAACTTTTTAATCTCTTACCATAAAACCTGATGATCATGAGAGTCTCTAAGAAATTGGATAATTTAAGACTAGAGCTGAATATTTTAATACCAGGGTCCTGTAAGTATTCTCTTAAAATTAATACTCTCTGATGTCATGGAAATAATGACAGCCATACTTCCATCATTCTGTGTGTGTCTCTCTTCCTTTCCACAAAGACACCGGGTCAAGGATCCCAGTGAATATAAATGATTACTGGAGGAAAAAAAAAATAGTTTTCACAAAGTCTCTGTCCTAATAGTGGATGTTAGTGACAAGAAAGACGGAAGGAAAATGGGAAGAGATCAAATTTAGTATTTACTTTGGTCAATGAGAAACTCAAATTCACTCATTATAAGCAGGTGACTTTTATGGATTGCTTCAAGGACTTTGAGGCCCTTCCGAAAAATTTTTCTCCTCCTTTCAAAGGGAAGAGTTTCTTCAAACCACTAAAATGTTCCCTAAAAGAAGCTGGAATTTGTAAAATGTTAAGCTGCTGTGCATAAGTTCACTTCATGGCCATTTTCTGCTGAAAGGCCTAAACATTTGTCCCCAAATAAAAAAATGAAATCAAATGGGGGAAAGATGGTTCCATGGTATTATAAGGGAGGGATTCCGGGCACAGTAAACAAATGTTTTACACAGAGCTTTTTAGCCTTACATTTTAGTTGCATGAAAGGAGTTTGAGATACAAATCGACTCCATTTTCAAATGGGATAAAACCTAGTGGTTCAGTTTTAACTCATTAAAAAAAATGTTTGGCTTAGCGTTCATTTTCAGCTCCAAACACTTGTACGAAAATTTCTTAAAAATTGAATCTGTATCTTAGAAACATCCAAATTTTGTGAATCCAAGTTAACTTCAGAATGTTTCCATCATTTTCACTTTTAAGTATACCAATATTAGATGTCCTGATTTGCTAAGCGAACCTTATATCAAATGTTTTGCCTTGAAATCAGTATTTCACTGAAGATGATAATGTATAAACTATGAATTAAGAATTCCTCAATTCTATATACTTGAGGACCATAAAAGTATGTAGATGAAAGGGAAAACTAGAGCTGATTCTTGGGCCCAACCTAAATATTTAAATCAGGCACACCTAAATTCATTTTCCCTAGGAACCAAACCACCTAATAAATCATCTTAAGCTAGTCACTAGTTTTAAAGCAAGATAATTACTTTGGAAGAATGATCTAGAAAGTCATGATTCCCCCCTCCCCTCACTGTTTTGAAAGGTATCCTCTAAAAGGGATCATTTCAGGGTAATTTTATTTTTTATGTTTTTGTCTAGATGAAATATTTTCTTGAATTGTGACAGGGCCAATGCTTGACACACCCAAGCATTTATATTTAATACTGAAACCCAGCCTCCTTTATCAGATTGTAAGAGTAGAAAGATTAAGATTTAGTATATGGATCTTCAGGAAGATCAACTATTTTCTCAAGTCTAACAAACAGCTTTCTTTTCCAGAGAATACAGAATTACAGGATGGTCTCCTTAAGAGTTCAGTGACTATTGCATTTGCAGCATTTTTAATCTCCGTTTGGCATCTTTATGGAATAGTTTTCTAAAGGGGTAATTCTCTCTACTAAAGAATATCAGACCCTGACCGTATTCAGTGTGCAGAGGAATACCCTCTTAGAAAGGAAATACGTTGACTCACAGACTTGTTAAAAGTTAATAAAGAAATAGCTCATTTTTAAAGCCAGAACTTTATGGTCTCTGCATCGTCAATTTCATTTAAGCATTGCTGAGACAATCTTTAATCTACTCCCCATTTTGTAATACCTTATTTATGATGCATTTTCATTTTTTAATTTGGGGGGAACGTTAGCCCGACAGATGAAAGTGCCAAAAGGAGGTCAAATGGAAACAAAGCCTATTACCCACTGTATTTCAGACAGGACCAAGGCACTTAGCCTGAGAGCCACTGGGTTATTAGATTAATTTCAAAAGAGCTTTTACAAGTCGCTTAATTCCATTTTTTTTTAAAAACCCATGGACCACAAACTCAAATTTCTCTTCAAATGGGGTTAATCTGACAAATGAGGCATGGACCCAGCGTTGTGGAAAAAGCATTCCGCTATAATGAGATCTTGGTCTTTCTTGCGAGACTGTGTTATTTATGTAAATATGTCTAGAGGCACCTTCTATACGCTTTTAGTTTTCTATGATCTATTAGTTTAGTGTTTATTAAGGAATCAAATGTATAGAACTGCTAGGCATTCAGGGGGAATGCTGTGTAGCAAAGCAACTTGTCTGCTCGAAAGAAACATAGGAACGCTTCAAAACCACCGTATTGTTTTGTTTGTGACCATATTCATGGCTTTGAAAGTAAACTGCATAAGAATCGGCCTTACAATAAATACTGCGTGCGTCCTCAGTAGTACCTAGCTAAGGTGATTTGGCATTCTCCTCCTGTGATTTGT